TGTAGGTGCCCAAATACTTCCATTTTGCAATAAATTTTTTGTTTCCACTTTTTTAGATGAGTTCTTTTTCTGATTACAAAAGCATTGTGTGTATGTATAAAATGTGGAAAATACAATGAGCACTAAGACAAAAGAAATTACTATAATCCAGTCACCTACAGATAACTAGCGTTTCCATTTATGTGCAGTTTTTCTTTGTACATGTGTGACCCTGTGTATATATTTTTTTTCTTCTGTGTGTGAGGGCTCATATTGTTTTGTAATGGCTTTTTCATTTAATGCAAGGGTGAACATTCTTCTAAAATAGGATTTTTATCACCTGAATAGTGTTATTTTAATATATATGATAAATGTTCATAAACTTTGCTGCTCAGTTATAACTCATACCTGCTTGAAAATTTACAAATGCGTCTTCAAACAATCTGCAGTCAAAAAGTGCAGTCCCAATTTCTTCATAGTCTGGAGGAAGAAAAACATTTTCAGTTTTAATTTAAATAACTTACATAGGCAGAAACACCTCACGGAATAACCCTCAAAAAGGAAAAGCACACAGAGCAGGCATCCCCTGTGGACTGCAGTGGCAGCAGCCTCACCAGGGAGCTCATTAGAAATGCAGATTCTTAGCACCTTTACTGGATCAGAACCTCCAGGGATGGGGCCCAGCCATCTGTTTTAACAAACCCCCCTGGTGGTTCTGAGGGGCATGCTCAAGTTCGAGATGTGCTTGGTCTAGAGACAAGAGTAAACGAACAAAAGAATGTAATGAATGAGCTTTGGGAAATGTCTGTTTGCTCTTAACTACACTTTTTGGTTTTGTCCTGTAGAAAAAAATCCCTTTCAAATAATCATATATTTTACATTGTTGCCTAAAATACAGACTGTCGAGGTTTTTCCTTCTAAGACAGCTATACAGTCGACCCTTGAACAATGTGGGGTTAGGGGTGCTGACCCCCGTGCAGTCACAAATCCAAGCATAACTAACTTTACAGTCAGCCTCCCACATATGTGGTTCCTCTATCTGTGGTCCTGTATCCACGGATTGTATAGTATTGTGTAGAATTTATTGAAAAAAATTCAGGTATAAGTGGACCCGTACAGTACAAACCCATGTTATGTGTCGACTGTACTTATAATAAAGTTTTTAAGCTCCTAACACAGGTTATGAGAAGGCTAAGTGGCTGTATACCTGCATGTACAAATGGAACGTCAGCATCCCGAAGAGCTCTTTCTGAAAGGCCACATTTAACTAAACCAAACATCAACCAAAACATTAAAATTACTTCTTTCTTCTATACTTTACAGTATAAAAAAAAAGGCGCTTGCTTGTTTAAGGAACAGAATTAGAGTCAAATCAAAACTAGCATAATGAATGCCATTCTCAGATCTTAGCAGCAAGCGTGCTCAGCTGCAGGGAGCGGGGCGAGCGCAGGTGTGTGACTGAACCTGGTTCTGAACTTGCCCGTTCTCTTGATGGTCACTCTCAGTTATGAACCTCTGGAAAAGACATTAAAACTTTCAGGGAATCAGGGTATTTTTTACTAAAGTAATGATTTTGTGAATTACCTACCTCCTGTTGATTTATAAAAAGACAAGAGATCTGGAACAATAAATTGTATTAAAGAATGAGATAAAGGATGTGAAGGCGATCTGGCTGTGACATCTGTCACCCCACTGATCGCCAGGGTTGATTCGGCTGATCTGGCTGGCTAGGCGGGTGTCCCCTTCCTCCCTCACCGCTCCACGTGCGTCCCTCCCGAAGCTGCACGCTTGGTTGAAGAGGATGACCTTCCCTGATAGAAGAAGACCGTTCTTCGGTCAAGGGTATACAAGTAGCTGCACTCCCCTGCTAGAACCTCCAAACAGGCTCTCAAGAATGAGATAAAGAAGGAAAAGAAAAAAGAAACAGCGCAGAAAGAAAATGTGTACTTTTTTTTTGGGGGGGGGGGATGTTGGTTTTGTTTAACATGTAGGTCTGTGAGAAGTCTCTATATGTAGAAATTTTATTTCAGTACCTGATTCTGAAGTGGTCTCATCCGTGAGTCTTTCTTGCATCAAATGAAGTTTGTCTAATATTTCTTCAAATAAAGCATTAATAAGACCCGCTTCTTTACATTTCTTAAGAAAAGCAACTTTCACAATTGCATCTAAGAATAAAAAAAACATTTCAGAAGGAAATCGTCTGTCTCAGGACAGCTATCATACATCATTTTATGGTCACTTCTTCAGACTTTGCCTAATGGTGGATGAGCATTATTAGGTAATACGTACAGCACCCTTATCTTTTCTATTAATTGTAATTTCATCATACCTCATTTTTTTCAAGCTGAAACAATGAATGAAATGTTATAAAAAGTGAAAATAAAAACTTCTCTGCTTAGAATAATTATGTGAATAAAGAGAATTTCCTAAAATTTAGCTTCAAATCTTTGAGATAACAGCCTCCCTCATTTTTTTCTGTCACAGTTGACTTATTATGGAATGTCTGTTTCCTTAACATTAAGTTACAATTACTGGCTTCAGCTTCTTGCGGGGGTGGTGGTGTCACAGTGTGAGGGGTGGCATGTCATTGGATTCTGAACTCAGGCAACCCTGGCTTCTATATCAAGAGCTGTATCCTTTCTTAATACTGAAGAGCAGTTGGACCATCCCAACCTAAGTTATAACCTAAGTTATTTTGATCTGTTGGGGTTATGATGGAGTGAATAATTATGATAAAAGATTTCTATTATAATTTATTACTACAAGTCTAGAATAATAAAGTGGGATACCAACTCTGAAATTCTAAATAATAAAGTGGGATACCAACTCTGAAATGGTACTAAGTACTGTAAGTCAGATTCGTTAACAGACAAAACTTATAGCAAACCTGTGTGTCTGCCATCCTTTTCCTTCCTATCCAATGCCATTCTTTCCGGTGGCTAAAAGGAGAGAAAGATCAAGATTACTTTACACTAATTTTTTACTGTTGACATTTAATATAGTAAGTCCCCTACATATGAATGAGTTCCATTCTGAGAGCACATTTGTAAGTCCAATTTGTTCGTAAGTCTAACAAAGTTAGCCTAGGTACCCAACTAACACAATTGGCTGTATAGTACTGTACTGTAATAGGTTTATAATACTCTTCACACAAATAATACATAAAAAGCAAACAGAAAACAAAACATTTTTAATCTTACAGTACAGTACCCTGAAAGGTACAGTAGTACAGTACAACAACTGGCACATGGGCTGGCATCGAATGAACAGGCAAGAAGAGTTACTGACTGGAGGAGGGAGAGGAGGTGGGAGGTGGTAGAGCTGAAGGATCGTCAGCAATAGGGGATAGAGGGCAGCCTGCAATTTCACTCACGCCTGACGTGGATGGCACAGGTTCTGGTTCCTTGCTGGATTCAGTTCTATCTACCCTCTTGACAAAACAATCCCTTGATGTCTGGGTAGTAGCTCTTTTTTTCTTGTCATAGATGGCATGGGAGCACTGGGTTGCATTCTTAACAGCTGCTGCAGTCTTCGTGTGCTGTTCGACTTTCGGGTCCTGTGCTTGAAATAAAATTACTGTACTGCTGTATACAGCACTGTAGAGTAAAAGCACAACTTGTAGGGGATGCACGCGTGTGACAATGTACTCCAGACACATGAATGTGATTAGACGTGTGAATGCACGTTTGCATCTTGGAAAGTTCGCAACTTGAAGGTTTGTAATGTAGGGGACTTACTGTATTGCATAAAATGAAAACCAAATTCAGTGATATGCTTATGGTGAAAATCATGTTCCATGTTCATATGTAGATGTAAACATCAAATGTAGTTTTGTTTTCGTCTAACAAAACATTAACAGGTGTAACAAGCACCTCTTGTATAAATAGGGTGAGAGGTTGCTGGCTCATATTAAGGTTACATGAGCTGTTGCAAATCCCCAAACATTTTCATATGCTTTACACAGAATAGGAATCCAGAAAATTATGAATCACAAATTAGGTCAAATGTGGATCCTGCAGCTGGGAAATACTTGGCTAGGTAAGGATGTTCCACTGCACCTATGCCTGTTTTAAGACCATAAACACCCTGTGGGCTCAGATCCTCTCACTGATTTGGTACCCAGGGGTGTGTTACAGGAGCCAGGGGACAGTCACCTCCTGGAGGTTATATGCTTGGATACCCAAGACACATCCAACTTCTCAATATTCATCATCATCTATCATTGTGTCACCTGAAATTCAGAAGGTTAAAAAAAGACATTGTATGGAGAAACTTAAAGCTATAATGAAATTAATTCAAATCACCTGTACAGGATTGCCTGTTGAGAGATGTTTTTTCCTCCCCCTTTTACTTTTCACTCCTGAAAAGTAAGCAGAAAAGTATAAATTATGTAGATACTGGAATCCATAAAGGAAAAGACTGATGCTGGACTACAGAAAATGTACAACACTTATATGCCAAAGGTTATAACAAAGTCAAAAGATATGTCAAACTTAGATTAAATGTTTGCAAAAAAAAAAAAAAACAAAAGGCCAATTTTTAAAATATAAAAAGCCCTTATAAATCAATACGAAAAAGGCAGTTGGGTAGAAAAATAGGCAAATGGGTAACTGGAGAGAGGGTTCATTAAACAGAAAAATAAATTGGATCACAGGGAAACAAATATAATTGATCAAAAGATAGGGGAATATACTGTTTCACCCATAAGTAAAGATATGCAAAGTAAAACAGAATTTTTCATTGATCAGATTAAGATGTATAATATATAATGTCTGCAAGGATTTGGGTCAATGTGTACTGCTGGTGCGGCCTCTTTAGAAGGTAATTAGCCAACAGTTACCCAAAGTTTCATTGTTTGTATTCTTTGACCCAGCAATCTACTTACAGGAAGTCTTTCTAATAGTATTGTTACATAAAGGCACAAAGATGAGTGGAGAAACATGTTAGCTACAGTATTAAATGTGATAGAAAAAAGCTGGAAATAACTTACATGTCAGTCACGCAGAGACTAGTTCAACTGTGGTTCAGCTATACAGCTGAATAATATACACAGTGGAATACTATGAAGCCTTTTAAAAATGAGGCAAGATCTACTTATACTCACTGATAGAGAAGAATTTCTCAGATATACTAAGTGAAAAAGCAAAGTATAGTAGTAGGTATGTTTCTATACACAGAACAGTTTTGGAAGAATACAAAAGAAACAACGATGGTTTCCTCTGGGGAGAGGATTCGTTACAGTGTTATAATCTGCTTTTTAAAACGAATACATTATTGTCGTCTTTCCCTGTCAGTAAAGACTGACTGACAGCAATGTTTTTGATAGTATTTCTGATAAGTTGCAAGGGGAATGGCTGAAGGGTGACGCTATTGTTTAGGGAGCGTTGCTTACCACCACAAAATGCAGCTGGCATGACAGGGAACTAATAAGCCTTTTCCAAAGAGGGCCGACTCCTGTCCACAGAGCATTCCACATCTTGTGTTGGCAAGACTGCTCTTCCAGCAGTACACAAAGGTCAGGTGACCCCAGGTAGCCAGGACCCAATTTTCCTCAGAACGGAAAGGCTAATCATTCATTCTTAGGAGAATTGCATTCAGGGAACATACAGCACTTTATCAGTTTTATCTACTGAAAATTCTGATAGTCTTCTCAGAAGACAAGTAGTCACAAAAGTCAAAGCTTCTTACCATGTTTTGGTTCAGTCCGCTGACTATAGTGAGAATGGGAGACACCAGACAAAGGCTTCACTGAGAGTAGGTCTAGTTCACGAAGAAAAGTTTAGTTCATTATACTGCACACTGCACAGGGACTGACAATTTTAAAAGTATGTAACATTTTGACTCAAAAATTTGTATTTAAGTTAAAATGAGGCCAGTAAATCAGATTATTCCATGTCTTACCGAAGGTTTACCTTTCTTTAAACCCACAACACTAAATTTTGTAGACTTACCATTTTGAAGGTCAGCATGTTGTTGGCACCATACTCTGAAAACATGAAATTTCAAAGAGTCAAATAATTGTATTTACACTTTTCAAATATTATGCCTATTGCACTGTAATTTAAAAGGGAACTAATCTGTTTTTCATGCGGGCTTAACCTTAAATATTTATTTGTTAAAAACAAAATTGCTGTTCAAGCCTGTGTAGTTACTGACAGACATCAAGTGTAGATGGACCCTGTGCCAGCGTCCCCTGTGCCCTTGAACCTTGGACAGGTCAGCGTGCTCTCTGCAGGGGTGAGTGCTGACTACATATTTTGAACAATACTTGTTCATATACAGTGGTCCGTGAGATTTTACTGTATAAAGAAAATACTTAAGAGATCCAACAGCTAAGACTCAAGTTTTCATCTGACTACACAAAGTTCTGCTGACTTTCAACAATAAGCACAAAATTGCATGCATTATCTGACGAGAAAGTAGTTTTCTAACTCAACAGGCATCTCCCCCAGATCTTATATTTGAACTGCATGAGCTTAGAACTAATCAGTGCCCTAGAAGAGAAGGAAGAAGCAGAGCAGCTAGAGTAAAGAAGTGCAGTGAGTAAACCTGAAGGAGCTGCTCAGGCCCTGTTTTCTCTCCAGCCTTTCTTCTTCCGCAGCCCCCAGTTCCCTTCCTTATGGTGCTGACCCTCATGATGCAGGATCCCCCTCACCTAGGGGAATGTATGAACTCTTCCTGTCGTACATCAGTTCCCGCCTCCTCCACGAAGTCCTCCCAGCACCCCACCCGCCCACCCCCAATCAATATTAATCTCCTCGCCCTTCAGATTCTGGTTTCTCAGCACTTTTGTTTGCCAGGTACTTAATTTTTTTTTTCAACCATATATAAAAGTGGAGGAGATGTGATGAACTCCCATGCCCCCAACCCATCACCCGTTTTCAACAATTATCAACTGAAGTCCAAGCCAGTTTCATGTAAATCCCCTCCTGCTCCCATCAGGCCACGTGCTCCTACTAGGTTTGACCTTCTGGTCCTCCTGTGAGGTGATAGTTTTAGTTCACGTCTTGTTTCTCTTTATATTCTCACTATACCTAACAAGGAATCTCGTGCATGACAGCCACTCTGAATGTTTAAATTCAATTTAAAAATGAATAAAAGTTCACCTGACACTTGATAAAACTATGACAAAGGAGATTATTTTATGAGTCTCTATTCATTGGTTCTACTAATATATGATCAGTATTTTTTCAGACTTTAAGGTATAGCAGGAACTTGACTCCTTTTTGTTTGACCTTGTAGCTCTGCTAATAATAGTCTTTCTAGTGGGTGTTTTAGGTCTTTGGAGAAGTCATAATAAAATAAGCTCTTTGGGAAGGTAAATGCTAAAAGTGAAACAGAATATTTCAATTCATGAGTTTCTCAGCAAATCAAATATAAAAAGAATATAAAATTAACATATTTACACATTTCCTGTCTAGTCTCAAGCAAGAAAATACCTGCGTAAAATCAGATTTTAAATTATTTAACAAACTTCTTTGAATGTTAGGCTTGCCCACATTTTAGGATATATGGCTGCTAAGCTTAAAGAGGATATGGTGTCAAAGAGCAAAGACTCTGGAGCCCTGAAGCCCAGCTCTGCCTCTTACCAAATGTGTGGCCTGGGTACAAATTACTGTCAGGGCCTCAGTTTCCTCATCTTTAAAATGGGGATAATAGTACCTACCTTACTGGGCTATTAGAATATTAAACGAAATAACATGTGTAAAGTACTTTGAAGTATTCCTGGCATAAAGTAAGTGGTTAAAAGATAAAGTCATAAAATAAAATAGTTCTGGAACACACTGATAAAATTGGGGATATATGCCCACAGGCGGAAAAAAATCTACCCTCCATATGGAATTTTAAAGTATCATTTAGGAATGTAACAGATCTTACAAAAATCATGTTAAAAATAATCCTCTGCGAGGGATAAATTCGGAGTTTGGGATTAACATATACATACTACTATATATATATCAGTAAAATAGGTAACCAACAAGGACCTACTGTATAGCACAGGGAACTATACCCAATATTTTGTAATAACCTATAAAGGGAAAAGAATATATATATATATATGCATGGGTATAAGTGAATCACTTTGCTGTACACCTGAAACTAACACAACACTGTAAATCAACTACTTCGATTAAAAAAATAAATAAATAAAAATAATTCTCTCATAACACTAATCCTATTATTCAGATACTATGCCTGAAAAAAATGTATATGTTTCACTGAAATTTAAAATGTCCAGTTCAATCAGAATCTATTCATATGCCCCAAAGAAGTGAGAAGTGTCTGCCTGGCTCGTCAACATTAGACCATCATTCTCTGTTTTATTCCATCTCATAACTTTAAAAAGGTCAAACCTAACCTTTTGACTGTTATTTCCTTCACCTTTATATGACATATTCTAGACTGCATCTACGTACAAAAAAGAGTTCGCTGAACATGACCTGAATCAATTAAAAACTGGGTTACTGATTTCTTCTGACTAAACTGTATAATGACTTAACTGAACTGACTTCTTTCATCAGAAGGAAGACCACGTTTCTTCCTGGATAAAACAAATATACTTGTTTTGGACTTGAAATATGCCTTACTGGATCAAAGTTAACATTAAAGAATTACTGAAAAACAAGGAGCAAGATTTCAAAGCCAAAGGCAACACAAGGTCTAAGTTTCTTCAAGGACTTAATGACTGATAACTGTATTTGCTGCATAGTTTCTTTATCATTTTTAGAGGCTATTTATAGTTAAGAGGGTGGTAACAGTGATGGGAAAATACATTCATTTGGAGACAAGATGGGTAAAGCATGGACCTAGAACTAACAAGTCAGGCTCCTTTCCTGTTTACAGAAAAGAGCGAGTGTGAACTGGTTCCCAGCCTCGTGGCCACCTGTTAGGTTACTTGTGCTACCATGTCAACCAGTGCTTTCTCTGAGGAAAGAAAGGATGCAGGGAGAGTAAAACCCAAAACAAAACCAACCCTGCTTCTTTTCTTCCTATGACACTTAGGGAAGGTACTTTCAAGTTAGGTTCCCAGCTGGGCATCTCCCAAACCACATTCTTACTTGGAAATCATTTGCATAAAATTAGCTTTAAAAAGTCTCCTTGTCCTTATTCCAATCCCCCAAACGTGGCTTTAAAACTGTTTTATTAAATACCTGTAAGTTCCTTTAGGTCCACCAACTTGTAGAACTGCGTTATCACTCTTGGCACAGAAAAAGTGGTAATTCTTGAGACAGGATTTTAAATCACATCCCACGGTGGCTCCTGCTTTCCCACAAAATGTGCATTTCTACAGAAGAACAGATTTTACTGAGTAAGCACCTGATTTTTCAGAATCTTTGTTAAAATTTAAAGTTAAAGATGTCATCAAATATTATTTTTAAGTTGGCAGCCCTAATGCCCTCAGCTACAAACACTGGGTCCTGACATTTAGCTGCTCATTTTGACATTTCAGCAAAACCTCAACTAACTGGAATGTTTTGCAATGATCTGATTAAAAGCAGAAAACCCTTTCTGTTTCCCAAAAAACCCCTCTCCTCTCTTTTTAAAAGAGATTTCTGAAAAGCAGGGTTGGCAACACTATCCAGCTCTAGGCAAGAGGTTCTGTTGGGGACACTGAGCCTGTGGCCAAGCTCAGCTCCTGGCAGTGCCACTAACAGCTGTGTGATCTCGAGCCAGTCCCTTCCCCTCTCTTAGACCCGATCCCTGGGGATCACAGTGCCTATCTTACAGAGGCACTACTGAGGAGACGTGAGAGAAAGGAAGTGAAATCTCTTTGGCATCTACGTAGAAAGGCCAAAAATGTAAAAGGAAACAAAAACAAAACCAAAGCCCCTGAGGAGTAAGTTTTTTTCTTAGCTCAATTCATTTGATCTCTTGCTTTTATGTATCAGTCTGTTGGTCTGCTAGGAAGGTGGCGTAGAGATGGCCAGGAGGAGAGTACGTGGCCACAGAAAGCTGTTGGGGGATCTGAGCCATGACCACAGCTGGTTTATAGCGTGCTCTGGCTGAATGACGTGGGCGCACAATGAAACCACCTAGCAAAACAGGAGGTGACAGCTCACACAGTATCCCAAGGTCAGCACAAGCAACTATATAAAAAAAGGAAATTTAATTGTGGGTGAGAAATTAGATGGTGCAAAAGGCAGAATTTGAAGTCAGAGCACAAAGAATGATCATTTAATGTTGGGGGGCCATCTGACTATGTATAGGAAAGAAAGTTAGATCCCTACCTCACAAGATATTCCCAAATAAACTCCACGTGCATTAAAGCTTTGACTATATAAAAAGTAAGTATTTTCAAAAAGCTGCAATAAATGAGAAAATATAAGAGAAAGAAAAAAAGGACAGTATTAAGGCTTTCTAAGCAAGGCAGGAGACACCCTGAAAAAGACTGACAGATTTGACTATATAAAAAATTTAAGCTCGACTTTTAAGGTGGTAGATACCATTTAAAAAAAGGGAAAAGACTGTTTGCTGCACAGTAGATAAAGGGTAAGACTCTGATAGCCCACAGAAAAATGGGAAGAGAATACAAACGGGGATGATGGCGGACAAATGATCTGCTGTTTACTGAGAAGTGAGCAGGTTTGGATGGATCGTGTGTATGAGTGTGTAAGGGATGGAACTATTCTTTTCCGGCCAGTTTAACATGAGAGGCTATTACCTATCCAGGTAGGTATGTCAGGTTGGCCATCGGGGCTGGAGATAAGAGTCCCGGCATAAGAATGGTATTGAAGCCATGGGAACTGGATGAGGTCATGTAGGAAGGATGTTCAGATTGAGGAAGGAGCCCAGGAAAGAGCCTTGGGCACTCCAAACTGTAGAGGTTGAGCAGAGGAGGAAAAACAGCCAAGGCACCTGAGAAGCAGCAGCCAGAAAGGTAAAAGACATATAGCAGCATATGTCCAGGAAGTCAAAAGAAGGAACTGCTTCAAGATGCAGGGCAGGGACCACTGTGTGATGATACTGCTGACAGGTCAACTAAGGTCAGACAAGTGACACTGTAAATGACCAGCTCTTTGTGTATAAGGGAGAGTTTTGGTTTTTTTTAAAGATGACATGATCACTTGATCATGTTTATATGCTGACAAGAATAATCAATTAGAAAGAAGGGATACTGATGTGAGGGGGTAGAGGAAAATGCAAGAACCTAGTCCTTAAGGAGGGAAGGAGGACGGCTCCAAAGCCCATGTGCAGGGTTGGCTTTGACAGGACGGAGGTCTGAGAGTCTGGGGACAGGCTGGTGGGCAGTGGTTTGGACAGTAGGGGTTCCTGTCTAGTCGCTTCCATTTTCTCGGTAAGAATCTGGCAAAGAAATGTACAACACCAGGAGTGAACCCTAAGGTAAACTATGGCCTTTGGGTGTTTCTGATGTGTCAATGTGGTTCATCAGTTGTAACAAATGTCCCCTCTAGTGGAGGGTATTGATAAAGGGGAGACTGTGAACGTGTAGGGGCAGGGGGAATACAGGAACTCTCTGTACCATCCCCTCAGTTTTCCTGTGAACCTAAAACTGCTCTAAAAAAGAAAGTCTATCCAAAAAAAAAAAAAAATCAGGGATAGTCATCAACTTGGCAAGGAGAAGTTGGGGTGGAGCAAAGGTTTTAAAGAGAGATGATAGGATATGAAAGAGTAAATGTGGAGGGTGGAGGATGAAGTGCTGATTGTCTGTTTGAGGTTTATGGCCATAAATCTAAGATCAGTCAAAACATCTGTGGGTTTTTCTCCGGTTAACTGCTCAACTGCCAGCGCTACTCAGCTCCTGCAGACATCAGACAGACACACTTCCCCAGGCTGGGGCTTTGCTCAGTGAGTAAGGAGGGTGTCCAGGGGGTTTGCAAGGGAGTGACTGCTGTGCTGGACCGTGGCCAGGGATCACTGAAGAGCTGCTGGAGCTGGGTGAGCCAGGAGGATTGGGATGATTACTAAAGAGGGGTAATGTACAACCTCTCCAGTGATCAGGGAAACACAAGGTAAAACTTTTTGAGGCTGGCAAAAATTAACGAGGTTTGAGATGTTCATTTTCGTCAAGGGCTGGGAGAAGTGCTCTTTCATCCACTATGTACAGAAGCATAAAGTGGTACAGTCTTTCTGGGGGATAGTTTGTCAGCATGTTTCAAAGATTTTAAAGGGAATTCTCTTTGACTCAGCTGTTCCACTTCTAGGAATGTGCTGTATAGCACCAATCAAACCAGCACACGAGGATAATGCACAAAGATGTTTTCTGCAGCATTCGCTATCACAGTGAAAAACAGTGTCAACTCATTATCTAAGGGCAAGGAATGGCTTCATGCCTTCCTGTACATCCTGTGGAATTCCATGAGGTCAGTGAAGAGAATGCCAGGGACAGTCCTATGCTTATGGTTTCATGAATGTGCCGCATCTTCTTTCTTGCCTTCCACGCTTTTGCATACCCTGTTCCCTCTCTCTGAATTTCCCCATTCCCCATCCTCATTCCCCCCCACATTCCCAACTAGGACGGCTTCCTGAGCCCCAACTGTGCTGATTTGCCTGCTCACTGAGCTGCCCGTGCTGACGTTTCTCAAAGCACATCAGGTGATGTGGAAATTGCCCATGTATATGCTGACATCTTGCAAGGACTAAAAAAATGTTTGTTCCAGGTCACTAACCTGACTGGATTTTGGTGGTGGTTAGGGTGTTAGCACTCACGCTTGCTGTACCGCTGATTAAGCTGCGAAGGGCCTGTCACGGAGGGAGTCTACTACAGCAGACCCAGTAGAGCAACTGCTCAGCATTCTTCCTTCCCAGGGGGAGCTGACCCCAGCTCCGAGGGTAGATCCTGATTAGTTATGGTCGCCTCTAGCAATCGGTGCAGAAAGAGGAGTGTGGCCTAATTAAACTTTCAGAAGGGCTCTTAATCCATGCTTGGGGATGAACTGTCTCTTGTGATAGGAGCAAGAAAGCCTGATGCTTCAGCTGCTGCCTGTGGCCACCCTATGATCACAAAGGGACCAGCTGATGTCGTGGACAGGAGGGCGGAAAGGATGATGGGCCCTTGATGACATCATTGAGCCACTGAATCAACCAACCCCGAAGTCAGTTTTTCCTCTGGCTAAGTTAAGAAAATAAGCATCCCCCTTTTTTTTTTTAAAGGCAGTTTGTTCCTTCTACTTATAGCCAAAGCATTCTAACTCATATCTACTTTGCCGATGAAGCATATTGTAGTTTATTTTAAAATATTAAAATATTCAACTGAATCTAAGTTTCTAATATAGGTCCTACTTCTTTCAGCTCTCCACGTTGCATCTCTATCCCCTGGTTTATCAATCAAATAGACTTTCTTTTGAAAGCATCACCAAGGGTCTATTCATCTAAGTAACAGAATCATTTATACTTACCAACTTCCTTCCTCTCCTGACTTCTTTCTTTACTGATTCCACATCAAAATTTCTATCATTATTGAACGGATCATGATCCTCACATTCCACAAGCGCTGAGGAATACAGCTGCAGATTGGGAAAAGAAAAAACCCAGAGTATGCACAAAGTAATGTTGAAAGCTGCAAGTCAGAAACTGGTACCAAAAAGTACTCACCAGGAGTGGAAGATGGTTTGCGCGTAGAACAGTGACCACCTTTTGGCGTGTGTGAGCAGATCTCAAGTCACCCTGCTTTTCTTTGGGAGTTGTCCTGATCCCCAGACATATTTTATACTGCATAACCCTGACCCCCAGTGGCTAACTGGACATGGTCGGGGCCCTGACCCCAAGCTGGGCCAGTCAAAGTCCCTATCCTAGGGGACTAAAACAGGCTCTGAGCCACATGGTCAGAGCAAGTCAGTCAACGAAGAGAGGAAAACAAAAACGAGGGCTAGAGAGGACATCCTGGGTTCCTGATGGCTTCCCAGCTCCTGTTTCTTATACCCACCTGTGTGCCTGTCTTCAGGAGCCAAAAAATGCCCCTGCAACTTATTGCAAAGCCCCTTTTATATTTAGGTTGGCTCGCGCTTCTAAAAGTTTCTTGAAACCAAAAGAATCCAAACTACCTCTGAATGAAAGATCAACATTACACATACACTTAAATAATAAAGGGCGTGAAAAACATAAGATAAAAAATTGTTGACACTGGCACAGGCAAAGATTTCTTATAAAAAGCAGAAACTATAAAGAAAAATTTATTAAGTTGGAATTCACCAAAATTAAAACTTTTTGCTCTTTGAAAGACATTGCTAAGAAAACAAAAAGGCAAGCCAGAAATTGGGAGAAAATATTCACATTTCATGTATCTGACAAAAAAATTTTATCGAGAATATAGGGAAAACTCTTGCCACTCAGTGAGACAAATAATTCAGTTAAAAATGGGCAAAAAACCTGGACAGACTCTTCAGAGAAGGAGAGTTACAAATGGTGAATAAGCACGTGAAAAGATGCTCAAAATCATTAACCCTCGGACAAATCAAAGCCACAATGAGATACCAATACACACTCACTAGACTGGTTAGAATTACAAAGACTGAAAATACCAAGTGCCAATGAGGGTGTGGAGCAAATGAAACTCCTACACATTGTTGTAGGAAGTGTAAAATGATGCAATTACCTTTAAAGTTAAACATACACTTACTTTTTGACCCAGCATTCCTCTTGTAGGTATTCACTCAAGAAATAAAAGCATTATTGTCCACATTTAAAGAAGGCAACAGTATACAATGGAGAAAAGACAGTCTCTTCAATAAGTAGTGCTGGGAAAACTGGAGAGCTACATGTTAAAAAATGAAAATAGAACATCTTCTCACATCACATACAAAAATAAACTCAAAATGGATTGAAGACCTAAGTGTAAGACAGGACACCATAAAACTCCTAGAAGAAAACATAGGCAGAACACTGACATAAATCGTACCAATTTTTTTTTGGATTTATCTCCAAAGGCAAGGAAAACATAAGCAAAAATAAACAACTGGGACCTAATTAAACTTAAAAGCTTCTGCATCAACAAACCATTGGAAAAACAAAACGACAACCTACTGAATGGGAGAAAATATTTGCAAACGATATGACCGGTAAGGGGTTAATATCCAAAATATACAAACAGCTCATACAACTCACCATCAAAAAACAACCTGATTAAAAAATGGGCAGAAGACCTGAATGGACATTTTTCCAAAGAAGACATAAGATGGCCAACAGGCACATGAGAATATGCCCAACATCACTAATCATCAGAGAAATGCAAATGAAAACCATAAAGAGATATCACCTCACACCTGTCAGAATGGCCATCGTCAAAAAAGACCACAAACAAATGTTGTTGAGAGTGTGGAGAGAAGGGAACCCTCCTGCACTGATGCTGGGAATGTAAACTGGTGCAGCCACTGTGGAGAACAGTATGGAGTTCCTCAAAAAACTAAAAATAGAGCTACCATGTGATCCAGCGATTCCACTGCTGGGTATATATCCAAAGAAAACGAAAACACGAATTCCAAAAGATATATGCACCTCAGTGTTCATAGTAGCATTATTTACAGTAGCCAAGGTATGGAAGCAACCTAAGTGTTCATCAACAGATGAATGGATAAAGAAGATGTAGTGTGTGTGTGTATATATACATATATACATATATATATATATATATGTATATATACACACATATACACATACATACAATGGAATACTATTCAGCCATAAAAAAGAATTAAAGTTTGCCATTTGCAACAACATGGATGGATGCGGAGGGTATTATGCTTGGTGAAATAAGTCAGACAGAGAAAGACAGATACTGCATGTTATCCCTTATATGTGGAATCTAAAAAAATTAACTAGTGACTATAACACAAAAAAAGTGTATGTCCACATGAAGACACATATTCAGATCTTCACAGATTTATCCTAGTATCTTCAAACTGGAATTAATAATATGTCTATCAACAGGCAAGTGGATAAACAAATTGTGATAGAACCATACAATGAAATACTGTGCAGAAATAAAAAGGAACAAAATACACATACAAGAAACAACATGGATGAATCTCCAAATACTGTAATGAGCAAAAGAAGCCAGACACACAGAATACATACTGTAGGATTCCTTTCATGTGAGATGAGAAAGACAGGCTCAAGCTACAGAAGCAGGGGTGGGGAGGAAGTGGCTGCAAGGAGGCATGAGGGAACCTTCTGGGGTAATGGAAATGTTCTACATCTTGATGGTGGTGGTGGTTACGTTGGTAAATACATGACTTAATACTCTCTGAACTGTACACTTAAAATGGGTGCTTTTTTTTTTTTTTTTTTTTTTTGGGTACGCGGGCCTCTCACTGCTGTGGCCTCTCCCGTTGCGGAGCACAGGCTCCGGACGCGCAGGCTCAGCGGCCATGGCTCACGGACCCAGCCGCTCCGCGGCGTGTGGGATCTTCCCGGAATGGGGCACGAACCCGTGTCCCATGCATCCATTGGCAAGCGGACTCTCAACCACTGCGCCACCAGGGAAGCCCAAAATGGGTGTTTTTTTAATGTAAATTATACTGACAACGTTAACTAAAAATAGCAAATTAACATTAACAGTATATTAGAACAAAACATCACAATCAAATAGTGTTAATCTCCGAATGGTTTAACAGCAGAAAATAAACAAGCACATAATTTATCACTAACAGATTAAAGGAGAAAATTTGAGACATGAAAACCAAATGTAACCTGTTAATCAGAATCTTTTGTTATAAAGTTATTAGGACACTTGAACCTGAAACCTGGGTGGTTTGAGGATTAGATCGTAGTAATATATTAATGTTAAATTCCTGATTTTAATGGTTACATTGTGATTATGTGAATGTCCTTTGTATAAAATACATAACTGAAGTATTCAGGAAAGATAACGCATCATGTCTCAAATTAATTTCAAATGGTTCCATAAACGAAAATAATCACTAAACAGTCTATAATAAGAATAGAAAAGTTTTATGTGAGCCAAACAGGACTACCCTGGAAGCCCACTTCCCAGATTACTCTGAGAAACTGCTCTGGAGAAGCATTGTTTCCAGCACAGTTTTATATCTTGTCAGAACAAAAAGCAATAAACGAGTCAGGTTTACATTTCTTCAAGGTTAAAAAAAAAAAAAAAAAAAGACTAGCATGTACACAGTAAGTCAGTATGGCCTTGGAACCTGGGAAGGGAGTCTTATCATCAAAGGAATACCAGCAAGACCACAGGAGGAGGGGCATGTAATCTTTATTTTTAACATGGACATTCTTTACTTCTGGTCAATGTGTCCTTTTCTCTAATAATTAAAGCAGATGTACAGTGTATATTTGGTAGGACACAGTCTATTTTAGTTAGCATAAAATTCAAGTTAACTCATGTATAAGCCAGAATGACTTCCCTATATCTCAATATGTGAATATTTCTTTCATCAGTTCCAACAAGAAAGGTACTTTGTACTGTATGTGAAACTTTTCTGTAAGTTTGAGATTAAAAAATTTGTGTATATAAAAAAATAAAGCATCGGACTTCCCTGGTGGCGCAGTGGTTAAGAATCCGCCTGCCAATGCAGGGGACACATGTTCAAGCCCTGGTCCGGGAAGATCCCACATGCCGCAGAGCAACTAAGCCCGAGAGCCACAACTGCTGAAGCCCGCGTGTCTAGAGCCTGTGCTCTGCAACAAGAGAAGTCACCGCAATGAGAAGCCTGCGCTCCGCAACGAAGAGTAGCTCCCGCTCGCTGCAACTACAGAAAGCCCGAACGCAGCAATGAAGACCCACCACAGCCAAAAATAAATTAATTAAAAAAAAAAAGCATCTAGCATTGTGCATGGCCAGAGAAAGAGAGTGAAAGAAGCCAGAAGATCATTACAATAGATGCAGAAAAAAGCATTTCATAATATTCAATACTTTAACTTGTAGCAAGCTAGAAATAAAAGGAAACTTCCTAATTTTAATAAAGTAAAAGTATTAAAAAGCTAAAGTATGCACAAATTTAATGATAAAACCTAGAAGCATCCCAGTAATATAAGAAACAAGACAAGGCTCACTAAAATGCTTTTAATCACCACTATAACACAATGTTCTAGAAAAATGCAGTACAACAAGAAAAAGAAATTAAGAGGCCCAAAAAGTCAAAGGAAAAAAAGTCATCTTTATTTAAAGATGAGGATCGTCCAAATAAAATATCCAGGTGAATCTGACTTTTAGATTTGAGAGTTTGGCAAGACTGTTGGATGAGATAAAAAATAAATAAAAATTGACAGTGTTTGTGTATACCAATAATAGCTCACTTTAAAAATGTATTAACAGGGACTTCCCTGGTGGCGCAGTGGTTGGGAGTCCACCTGCCAATGTGGGGGACACGGGTTCGAGCCCTGGTCCGGGAGGATCCCACATGCCACGGAGCAACTAAGCCTATGCGCCACAGCTACTGAGCCTGCGCTCTAGAGCCCAAGAGCCACAACTGCTGAGCCCGTGTGCCACAACTACTGAAGCCCGTGCGCCTAGAGCCACAACTAGAGAAAGTCCACGTGCAGCAATGAAGACTCAACGCAGCCAAAAATAAATAAATTTAAAAAAAAGATTAAAAAAATGTATTAACAAGACAGACAAACAAAAAACAAACCCAGGAAAAGGCCTAACCCAAAGTTCTAGACCTCTATAGAAAAAAAAATTGTTGGACATTTTTGAAATTCATAAAAGAAGACCTGGGCTTCCCTGGTGGCGCAGTGGTTGAGAGTCCGCCTGCCGATGCAGGGGACACAGGATTGTGCCCCGGTCCGAGAGTATCCCACATGCCGCGGAGCGGCTGAGCCTGTGAGCCATGGCCGCTAAGCCTGCGCATCCGGAGCCTGTGCTCCCCAGCGGGAGAGGCCCCAACAGTGAGAGGCCCGCGTACCGCAAAAAAAAAAAAAAAAGCCAGGGTTTATCTTAAAATCATAGTAATTAAGGGTGCTGTACCAGCTCATTAGTCACTGATAATCTGCCTGTTTAAATGGCCTGTTTGAACTCCCATGCTTTGGAGACCTAACTGTTCTTCCAAAAGATAGCATTGAGAGTACCATGTTACACTCTGTGATCTCTGCTAATGGCACTTTGGAATTGTATTAGTTAAGTCATTTTAGACATAACATCACTGTGGATCCAACTGTCAGATATTGAGTTATCAGCTCTTTGAAGAAATAAATTTTGAGGAGGTATGGGAGGAAGGAATACGTTTCATAAAACATTACAATGAAGCTCATGACTGACTTTTGAATAGTAGGAGTTTTCAGTATGCTGTTAAAAATCTGTAAGGGACAGTTAAGAAAATTATCAGATTGTAAGAGAAACGTGTGAGCTCACCAAACAAGGATTTCATTTATCAAATGAAGTTAAAGGAACAAGTTATAAAGTTTGAATGGAAGAGCCTGCCATTGTTGTTCCACATCTGGTTGTTGCCGTTTACATTCCTTTACTGACTGAGCCTACAGCTTCATAAGCTTTTTGGCAGGTATATACGTTGAACACTTCTGTTTCATGGTCAAGACAGGGTCAGAGGCCATGGATACTGACAACTGATTTGTCTGTTTTCTTCTTTTTCCATGACTGTATCTACTGCCTCATCTTGATTTACAAGCAAAACCTAGAAAACCTACAAAAATAAGTGTTTTGTGGTTTATCTAGGAATAATACAGAAAACACTGCTTGTTATTTTTGGTGAAGAAAATCAATTTCGTATAGTTTATTTCAACCTAAATAAAATGCGAGTTTTGTTTAAAAGAAAAAAAAGAGTGTTGTACCAGCTCAGGAATACACAAGTGACCAACGGAAGAGAATGGAGAGCCAGAAAGAGATCTGTGCACATATGACAATACTGTTAGAGCAACGGATTAGCATGAGGGTTTGAAACTAGATAGCTGGGTGAGAGTCCCGGCTCAGTCACTTACAGCCCTGTGACCTTGGGCAAGTGATTTAATTTCTCTGTGCCTCAGTTGTTCCACCTTTAGTTTGGGCGTAATTATAATACCTACCTCTTAGGGTAATTGTGAGGATTAACAGTTAATCCTGTTAATCTCCCAGAGCTCCTAGGTTAAGCTCCCAGAACATTACCTTACACAGTGAACACCAAATAGTAACAACAGTTATCATTATTATCACTACAAATCAGTGAGAAAAGGATAGATTTTTCAATCATAGTGCTGGGGAAGGTGGTTAATTGCATAAAAAACAAACTAAAAGTAGGTCCCTACTTTACACTATAATCCAAATAAATTCCAGTTGGATCAAGAAGCTAAATGAGAAAAGCAAAATTTTTAAACTTTTTGGAAAAAAGATAGAAACTTAGTTCGGAAAAGAATTTCTTAGGGGAAAAATCCTACAAATTATAAAGGAAAATAATGATGACTGTTAATTACATTACAAGCTTCTGTATGACAGAAAGCACCATAAATAAAATTAAAAGCAAACATATATAATAAAGCATTAGAATTTATTTATATGTGAATAAATACATATAAGCAAAACTAAGATCTCAAAGGTAAAGTGTAGTCTATGAACACAAGTCACAGAATCGAAAAAAAGAACCGCACAGGAGCACAGCAAACGAGGTGCAAGCTCACTAAGTAATCTAGGAACTGCAAATACAAATAACGAGAGACCATCTCACACCCATCAGAGAGGAAAACATGAAAATCTCATAGTATCATGACAGACACCAAACCACAGATCCAGGGAGGCACTGTAAAGAGAATGAAAAGAAAAGCCACAGATTAGGAGAAAATATTGGTAAAATATATCTGATAAAGGACTTGTATCCAAGATATAGAGAGCTCCTAAAAGTTAATTATAAGACAACCCAATAAACCCAATTAAACAATAACAACCCAATTAAAAATTGGACAAAGGATCTGGACAGACAACACCAGAGAAGATATACAAATGGCAAATAAGTATATGAAAAGATGCTCAACACCACATGTCATCATATGTCATCAGGGAATTACAAATTAAAATATGAACATCATCATATATACACTAACACGTATAAAATAGATAACTAATAAGAACCTGCTGTATAAAAATAAATAAATAAAATTAAATTAAAAAAAATACGAACAACATGAACTCTCATTCACTGCAGGTGGGAATATAAAATGGTACAGCCACAGTGGAGGACAGTTCAGCAATTTCTTTCAAAATTAAACATACTTCTATCACACCAAAAAATAAAATAAATCTCATAGAATCAAGTGTTGACAAGGACGAAGAGAAGCAAACTCTGAAATAGTGGAAGTCAAACTTGGTACGATCCCTTTGGAGAGCAATCTGGCACATTTAGTGAGGTGCAAAATGTTCCCTTCCTGTGTCCAGCAGTTCTAAGTGCCCTAGACAAGAGAAATTCTCCCGTGAATTAGGAGACCTATACAAGAATATTTATGACAGCTGGGCAGTCACATAAAAAACTGGAAAACCATAAATGCTCATTCACAGAATACTTTAATGGTGATTATAGTCATAAAATGGAATACTATAACATTTAAAATTAAAGATGAGAACTACATTTATCAACATGGATATATCTCAATAATCTACAGAATCTGATAGAAATTCTATAAAGTCCAAGAACATGTAAAACAATATATTTGTTTATACATACTTAAACGTGGTGGGAGCATAAAATTAAAAACACAAAATAATAAGAAACACCGAATTTGTGATGGCAATTACCTCTGGGGAGGGGTGGAGAGAAGGGAACAGAGAGAAGAGAGAGTCCTTAACTATCTATGATTTTTTTTCTTTAAAAAAAAAAAATCAAGCTGAGGCAAATATCATATACTATCATGATTTTATAAATCCGGGTGAAGTGTCTATGGGTATCTGTTATATTTGAAATAATTAAAATATCTTTAAAGGAACTTCTTCATCATAATTCTTTGTGTGTTTGATCAGTTATAAATAAAACTGAAAGTAATCATAAGGTGTTAAGATCTGAAACTTTAAAAAGGGAAAAATATGCTCCCCAAATCCCCACTTAAAAGCCCTGGTGGCGCAGTGGTTGAGAGTCTGCCTGCCGACGCAGGGGACACGGGTTCGAGCCCTGGTCTGGGAGGATCCCACATGCCGCGGAGCAACTGGGCCCGTGAGCCACAACTACTGAGCCTGCGCGTCTGGAGCCTGTGCTCCACAACAAGAGAGGCTGCGATAGTGAGGGGCCCATGCACCGCGATGAAGAGTGGCCCCCACTCGCCGCAACTAGAGAAAACCCTCGCACAGAAACGAAGACCCAACACAGCCAAAAAATAAATAAAGAAATAAAGAAGTTTTCATTAAAAAAAAAAAAAAAGCCCAAACCATGGGCAGCCAAAGTGTTATTCTTTGTTGTATCCAGAGTACATTTATCTATTTTGGTATGTCCTTCCCTAAAAGGACTCATGTGTTTTCAAGTAACTTACCAAACAGTTTTCATGAGCAGCTATATTCTCTGACTGTGCAAAGTACAGGACACTACACTCGAGGTCTTTGGGGCAAAGTGCGCATATCCTTTTTTGCAACCTTTCTGCAACCTGAAAGACACCTATAAAGTAACATCCCTGATGAGAAATGGAAAAGTGGAATTTCTTGGTGTCTGCAACTCCTCCACCCATCTTCAAGTAGAAGGCAGGGAACTTGTTTTATGAGAGAGTCTCAACTCCCAGGGAGAAAAAAATTGGGACCCAAGTAGAAAAGCAACTTTGTATTTTCTTAATGGCTTAATGAAAGAAAAGAAAAAAATGTTTCATTTAAAATGTCTAAACGTGAGGAAAACCTTTACTTAAGAAACATAAGCAGGAATTTAAATACAAAGTTCTCAAAGTATTGCCTTGCCCATAGTAAGCTCTCAATAATAATTACTGACATTATAAATCAACAGGAAAACAATGGTGTATTCAAGAAATAATGCTCTGATTAACTACCTGTAAAAAATAATTTAGATCCCTATATCATACTATATTCAAAAATAAATTTGGGAAAATAAATTTGGGGTGAATTAAAGAAGTAAATGAGCAATATACTTTAAATGTGCTGTAATCTAGCATTATAATAAATTAGGAGAGAAAGATACATGAAGGCAGGAGTTTGTTTTTTTTTTTTGAGAGGAATAAAGAAAGGAAAGAAACTTAAGGAGAGCTAGGAAGAACAGGGAAGAGACGGGGAAAAAAGCCAGCTGTTCCCAATATCCACTGGGTGCATCGGTGAGAGGCAATCTTCTCTAACCTATTAGTTTGCTATTAATTTGGCCACAAGCATCCATTTAACATTTCTTTGCCTTTTCCAATGCTCATCCTGTTATTCATTTAGTTTTCTGTGGCAGAAAGCACTTTCAATTTTATCTTCAAATTTTAATTTTGAAACAAAAATTCATTTAACCATTTAATGGCAAAAGGTTTAAATTTAAATGAGGTTAACCACTTAAGCGCTTCCTAAAAGTTCTTTTTGTTACTTAAAAGTGTAAGGTCTCTTGGTGTCTCTCTTAAATTACATCTTGCACCTCACAATGTCAGAAGACCTCACTTTGGAGCTAGCATTTCTTTCACATTCAGATGACTTTCTTCCTTAATTAACATCTGTTTCCTGGATTTGGGTCCTGCTTATTAGTAGGGCTACAAATTAGTAGTCCTACTGCTCCACATCAACCTAGAAAAAGGGGGGAGACTGAGACAAAACTCCTCAGGTGAAATGGGCGAACTGCTGCTTTTCATTCATCTCAAACCACCACCGAGTTGGGAGCACCTCTTGTACGAGAGTCACCGCGCTGAGAGCTCTAGACCAGCGCTGTCCGCAGAAACATAATGTGAGCCACAGGTGCAGATGAAGAATTTCTAGGAGCCTCATTTAAAACAGTCAAAGGAAATGGGTGAAGTTAATTTTAATAAGCTTTATTCAACTAAACATATCCAAAATACGACCCTCTCAACATTTAATTAAGGTAACAATTAATTCATTCTTTTGTACTGAGTCTTTGAAGCCCAGTGTATTTTGTGCTTACAGCACCTCTCAACTGGACGAGCCACATTTTCAATGCTCAAGAGCCATATGTGGAGAGTAGCTACTGTACGGAAGGGCACAGCAGAGGATATAAAAAAACATGAGACAGAACTGTTGCCTGCAAGAAACTTACAAAATAAACAAGGAGACCAAACAGTATTCTGGAAAATAAAATAACAGAATACGTGGCACAAGTAACTGCTGAGTAGGAAATACAATATACGCTATGAACAGAGGAGGAAGTGCTCCTTGTGGGATGGAGTGCTGTCAAGGACACTTCCTTGAGCTGGTACAACCTTGAGATGGAGAGGAAGGGGGGTTGGGGTGGGAGGGACGTTGCAGACAGAAGCAGAGATATATAAGAGACCAAGAGGTCTGACTGGGAGACAGAAAACCAGCCAGGCTGAAGAGGAGAGTTCATGCAAAGGAAGCTGGAAAATAATTTGAGAAACAGATGGTGAAAGGCTGCCAGGAAGGATTTTTTGAGCAGGGGTATAACATGATGAAAGAGGTGTTTTAAGCTCCATTTCAACATGGAGAGAAATACGGTGCACCTGAATAGGAAGGCTGGACATTATAATGCTGTCAACTCTATCTCAGATAAGTGCGGACAAAAAAATGTTGCCCGACAACAAGCCATCAGCCACTGCAGCAAACCCCGCCCCCCCCCAACAATGGTGTGTCCTGAGGGGAATTCAGGAGCGAGAAAAACAGGATACTGGCCCTAGACAGTTACGACGCATTTCTAAGGAATAACTTCAACAAGCCCAGACTCTTGTATCTTCCCATATTTAGAAAAGCACTAAAATCATTAACTTAAGATGTCTGTTTTTTGTTATTAGCAGTAATTGTTTGATGTTTGACTACATGTTTGTTTTCAGCAAAAACTCCTATATATCCTGGCTCATCGCTTACCTCTTCCGACACACAGATATGGACCTCTCCCCTGCTACCTCTTTGGATCAGTTCCTCAGAGCTGAGAGGCTGTCTCCCAGGCCACAGTCTTCAGTAAGCTCCCCAAATAAAACATAACTCGCAATTTTTAGGTTGTGGTTTTCTTCAGTCAACCTAAGTTTTAGATTTAATGCCATTTCAACTTAAATCCCAAGAAGGTTATTTTAAAGAACTTGAAAAAAATATTATTTGGAAGAACAAATGAGCAAGGGCAGTAAAGAACACTTTCAAAAAAAAAATGAGAGGGTGTTTACCTGATTTAAAAACATACTATAAAGGTACAGCTGGGACAGAAGGTTAGATGACCGCGTCGAAAGAAAGAACACAAAGTGCAGAGAGAAGTGGATCATAATCTCTAATTATGAATTTAAGCTACCATAAGGTGGCATTTGCATTTCTTCTCTGGCACTGATGTCCTTAGCCCATTTCTCTATTGGTTTATTCACTACTTCCTTCCTTACTGATTTATAAGAGCTTGTGGTGTATCCAGGATACTAACTCTTTGTTCGTCAAACATGTGGCCTTTTAACTTTGTTTATAATGTTCTCTGATATACAGAATGTTTAAAGGTTTTGTTTGATGAAATTATATCAATCCTTTATCATTTCTCACTCTTGGGTAGGGGAAACATAACTTAGAAGACACCTCTTCTTTTCCTCTAGAATTTTACTTCTTACATTAGAATATTAGCGTGGAATTATTTTATTGTAAAGTATGAGATGGAGATCTAACTTATTTTCATAATGGCTAGCCACTGATTTAAAATATTTTTTCATATATTTAATTATTACATATAGATTTGTTCTACATACTTCTATTTGTTCCACTGATCTGTCACTTCCCCCACCAATACAACACTTTACAATTTTCAATGTTTTAGAATATATTTTAATATTTCACCACACAAAGTCTCCATCCTAGGATGAAAATGGGAAAAAAATATCCCCAAATTTTATCCACCTTGGACCCAAAATCTACTTCGATTAAATAACTGTGTTCTTATTTAAAAGAACACTCAAACTGGACATTAAAATTTGTAAAGCATAGGCTAAAAAAAGTTTCAGGCAGTTAAATTACTAGTGCTAAAATTCCCTAATAAAAAAATATGATAATGTTTGATAGGCTATGCAGCACTCCTTGTGTAAGAGCTAGGTATTTTTGCCTTGTCACCCTTTCCTGTGCAGAGCTGCACCTGCAGACCGGTGAACTGCATCGGGCTGAGCTATCAGGCCACTGATACCTGAGTGTGGTCCCCTGTGCTTGCTCTGGGGACTCTGCCTGTCTGAGCTACACTCCCAAGTCTGCAGGGTCTTGGCACTTGGGAACACAGAGGTGGTGGCAACATTGCTGTCCTCTGGAGTTTCCAGTGCTGATGGACAGAAACGCAAGGTGGACACACAGGCTCCACCTAAGAGTTTTTTCCTGCTAAAACACCCCATCATCACAATTTCCTAAAAGAGCTTGGCTATTTTAACTTGTTTATTCTTCTAGACTGGGGGATCACAGAACTCTCTGTAGTTGGGAGAGTAACATTATAGGCTTTTACACAGACAGGCATCCCTCACATCTGAACGTTTGCTACACATTATCTGAAACTCATGGACCAAATACATTTGGATAACTTGATATTCCTCACTGTCTGAACTCAGGAACTGTATAGATTCAGACAGTGAGGGACAGGTGTGTCATGGGGGCTGGGAAGAGTCCATTGGTCTCCATCAGTAGTTGAGACCAAGAACAATGAAGATATGTAGGTCTCCCCAAGGTCCTTCTACTGGGTCTAGCAGGCCTAAGGGCTCACAGAGACTGACTCAACGAGAATTCTCAAAAATGAAACTGGTAACAAGGAAAGGTTCTATAGAATGAAGCCGAAGAAAAATTATAAGCCAAGAATACATGAACTACGACTAATTCAAACCAACAGTGGCAATCTCGCCAGCAATCTCCAGGCTCAGCTCCACCTGGGAAGGAATTGTTAAGGCCACAGCTTCTGCAGGGGTGTCTTCCCAATGCTTCTCTTCCAAGAGACGGTCTTAAAGCTCACCAGACAAGGGCAATCCACCCAGAGGACTGAATCTGGGGTAGTCAGATAGGATGGCCAAGGAACATGTTCCACCACTAAAGAAATGAGTGAAACTGATAGAATGAGAATCACTAACCCTATACTTCCATTTACAATCCCCTTCCAATAGGGTATGGTCTATGTTCTGGACTGGCAACCAATTTATGGTGCTGGCTTGGAAATTCCTTCCTCATTTCTCCTTTGATCAACAGTTTTCATTGCAGTTTACTATTTTAGTTCTGCCACTGTATATCAGATGTGTAGACGTTATTACTGAGTCCAGTGACTGCATACCTGAACTGACCAAAACAGAAGGGGAGTAGATATTACCTAGAGGCTTGGTAATGGACTTGGAAAATGAATGGCTTCATCACATTGTCTCTGGATGGTGTGACTGGACATAACTTTCGGAGAAGTTTGGCAGGATGTATATTTGGGATAGCCAGAAGGCATTACTGGGGACAGCTTCAGAGCGTGAAAAGAGGAATAAGGATGTCTGTGTTGTAAGGGAAGGGTGGCAGGCAGCCAGGGAATAGGATGTTCAGTGGACTTCCTTAGGGTATCCATTTGACTCATAATCATACACAGGGATAAGCCCCAGCAGGTATGTTTATACTATGTAACTCTTTCC